GCTCCTCCACTCTGGCCCCTCCTTGTCAGCTACCTCTGCCTCTTTGCAATCTGATGTCTTTAAATAGTCCCATCTCATTCACTGTCTCCACTTCCTCACTATCCCTCTCCTTTGTCACTCCATCTGGGCCTGCTCTGGTCCTCCCCTCCTTCTGAGGCTGCCCTGGCCAAGGTACTCAGTAACCAACATGTCACCAAATCCAGCAGACATTTTTCAGGCTGTATCTCACTTGACCTCTTGGCAGCATTTGACACTGTTGTCCACTCCCTCCTTGAAACACTTGCTTTGTGCGACCTCTCTGACACCTCTCTCTTCTGGTTTCCTTCCCACCTCTGGCTGCACTTGGTTGGCCTGGATGGAGGGCCTCTCCTCCCTCTGTGCTGCCAGGGTTCCACTGGGTCCTCATCCAAATTCACCCTATGCTGGACTGTTTGAGCTGCTCCCTTGACCTCAGTCACCACCTCTACCCTGATGTTCCCCCAATCTGCACTGCCAGCCCGAGTCTCTGCTCAACCAGTGTATCTTTGCCCAGTGTCCCCCAGCCCTCTCCCTCTAACATGCTCACAGTGGAACTCATCTCCCTACACCTGTGCCTCTCCTGTCTCCCAAGAGTTTACTCATGTTACCTCTATCCATCCAGTGTCCTAACCAGAAGCAGAGGGGTCATTCTCCCTCATGGTCCCCATTTCCAATTAATCACCAAGACCTACTTCCTATATCTTTCTTCAGTCCATTCACTTCTCTCTACTCCCTGTTGCCACCACCCCGTTCCAGGCTACCATCATCTCTCAGTCGAGTTATAGAACCTTCTGCCCAGTTTTTCTGATCAGTCTCACTGCTCTAGTTGATGGTCCACACTGCCCCTGAGTGATGGTCCTGAAACAAATCACACTGTCATTCTGTCTCCTCAAAGTCTTCTGTCCCAGCTCTGCCTCTTGGTTGGTGAAGGGAGAGCATGGTTTCTGACTGCAGCCAGACATGATGGACAAAAATGTTCCAAAAAGTAACTGCTGGGCTGGAGGTTTAGCTCAGTGGTTCTGCCACCTGCCTCGAAAGCGCAAGCAACTGCTGGTCCAGTCCTCTGCTGTATGGATTACCATCTATACAGGTATGCAAGTTTAGATGGAGAAACTGAGACTCCAGGAGGAGCCAGAGACAATCCTAGGACAGCTCTTATATTTTGTATGATGAAACCACATAGTGGTCTGGCAGACCCCAGCTCAGGGATTCCGTCTGTCTCTTCCCTCCCTAAGTTCCAGACATTGACCTCCCTTCTGCTGCCCTGAGAATGGGTCTCAGTGTGAGGACCAAGGCCGAAGCAGCTAGAGTGTCAGCTGGTGCTGGACCTCTAGCCCTAACTCTGCCACTGTCACTGTGTGATCCCGAGCAAGTCTGTTGGCTCTAGGTCCTACTTCCTCATCTGGAGGATGGGGATAATTATTCAGGTGCCTGGAATGTAAGATGTTCACTATCAGACCAAGTACATTCCTGAAAATGAATTGAGCACCTAGGAGTAAAGAAACTCCCAGCCTGTGGACTAGGGTAAAATTCAGGGGCTTTTTTTTTCCGTTCTGGGACTGAACCCAGGGGTGTTCTACCATGAAACTACATCCCTAGCCTTTAAAAAAAAATTTTTTTTGAGACAGTGTCTCACTAAGTTGCCTAGGCTGGCTTCAATCTTTCAATCCTTCTGACTCACCCTCCTGAGTACCTGGGATTACAGGTGTGCACCACTGCCCCAGCTAAATTCAGGGACTTTGGAAGCAGCATCTGCCAAAAGGAGTAGTAAGGTCGGGATTGTGTCTTCTTTGGAAAGATGCTGTGGACCTGACTAGTTGGGGATGGATGTGCTTAGAGCTCTGGGAGCATCCTCAGTGGGTACAAACGGTGTTCTGGTTGGTGACATGGTTCTTTGATGCTCATTTAATGTAGATTCTTGTTGTTTTCTCAGTCTTTCAAAAGTGCCATGAAGGGGCTGGGGATTTAGCTCAGTGGTTTTGCCACCTGCTGTGCAAGCGCAAGGACCCGAGTTCGATCCCCAGCACACACACACACACAAAAGTGCCATGAAACCAGTCTGTCAAGCAAGCAAGCAGAATAGAGGGAGAATGCTCAGGCAAGAGGCCATTATTCTGGAGCAAAGATTGCTCCGGAAGAGCCTCTCCAAGGGAGTGGCGTTTAAGCAGAGAGGCAGATGAGTAACGGAGCTACAGGCAGAATAAACAGCAAAGCAAAAGCAAAGCCTGGAGGTAGAAATACTTTGAGTGTGTTCCAGGAATGGCAAGGAAGCCAGAAGGGTGGAAGTGTAGTAAGTGAGGGAGGAGAGTGGAAAGGATCAAATTCAAAAGGTGGGCTGGGGCCAGGCTCCCCAGACATGTTGCTGGACATGGTGAAGAAGTTGACCTTCGCTCTCCAAATGTGATGGGAAGTCAGAGGAGAGTTTTGAGGAGACTGATAATGTCCAGCTCTGCGTTTTAGGAAGTTCATTCTGGCTGCTTTGGTATATGTGATACCGAAGTAAGCACATGCTGGCTACTTTGAAGAGGGGGGTTCTCTCTGTGAAGGTGAGCTTGGAGGCAGGGAGCTCACTTGGGCCAGATGGTGATGGCTTGGTTGGAATGGTGAGACCTGTCCAGGGATATGTTTGGAATGTAGATTTTCCTACGGAGCAGGATTTAGAAGGTCAAGGACAGGAAGAGTCCAGCATAACTCAGATAGTCAGCCTGAGCCTCTGGACACGGTTACTGAAAAAGGTGGGCTGGAGGGGAGGAAGATCTGAGGACACATCTAGAGTTTGTATTTGAACATGTTCAGTCTGAGAAAGCTATGTGGAGTAGGCAGGTGGACAGATGAGCTGGAGCCCCTGAGGGGGGCTGCTAATACTCTCATACCTCTAAGGACAAAGGCAATTGTAGTAAGGGGTAGAGGCAAGTTTAAGAGTAATTTTTTTCCTGTTTGTATTTTTAAGAAAATGTATTTAAAATGTATGCTAGTTATTACCCAAGCAACCATTCTAAAAGTTATTAGGAAATAATTTTTAAAAAGCCAAGTCACATAATTTTTCCACCCAGAGATAAGCACCGCCAACTCCTGGTACCTAGATTTAAACACTGGGATCACATTGCCCTTGAAGCTTTATCATCTGCTTTTTTCACCTAACCTCTTGTGAAGTGGACGGTGTATACATCTGCAGCCATTGATATGGCAAGAAAAGTGTTGAGGAAAAGAATTTTAGAAATGACCTGTAGGAAGCCCCCTCTCAGCCCACTGCTACCCGAGGCCTGAGGGCAGCTGAGAAGGATTCCTGTCAAGGGCCAGAGGGAAGGCCCATGAAGGTCTGGGTACTGCCCTTCCTGGAGGAGGGCACTGAATGAGATGACCTCAACGAGGCCTTTCCTGCTGCAAACCTTGTATCATCTCTGGTCCCTGCCCAAGGTGGCCTGGCTGCTGCCATTGCTGTGGCTACCTAGTGAATCTGAGGAGCAGGTTCTCCACTCCCTGAACCTTATGGCTTTGCTATCTCCACTCTTGGCTAGAACTGGCAAAGGAGGTCTCCTCACTTGTTCATCAAAAGCCTTTTATTGATGTCTGCACCCTACCTCTTCAATCCAGGGGTGTTTTCTGGGATGCAGCCCTAGGTCTTGTCCTCTCAGGAGGTGTCAGTGGGCCAGGGTAAAGCCATGCCCTACACCTGTCTTTCCTCCAGGAGCCCCGTATTGCAAATAAAGAGACTGGCTCAGAGAAAGTAGGTCACTTTCCTAGAGGCACACACACAATCCCCCATCTCCAAGCTAGGTCTTTTTGACCTCAAGTTCATGACCTTGCCCCATGAAACCTGAACACAAATAAGGCCACATAAAGGAGGCAAACCTAGGAGGGGGAGTTTGAAGAGAGAATATGGGGGGGCACAGAGGCTCTGCAGAGCCAGAGGTGTCATCTGTGCACGGGTGAAGGGTGCGCAGGGCTCATGTGATGAGCTGTTTTAGGTGGCAGGAGCACAGAGGTAGGGAGGCTGTGGGCCAGGCCGGTGGATCAGTCCACAAGAGATGCATTTCCAGAAACGGCCATTCCCTGCCAGTCTCTTCAGTGTTCAGCATGGCTCTTGTGGAGGAGCTCCCCCGTGCCCTCTCATCCGGCCTCCCTCACACATGTATCTGCCCACAGCCTTCTTCTCCCTTCCACTGGAAAGTTGGGAACCCTTGCCTGAGTCTCAGCTCTGTCTTAGAGATATTTGGGTGACCATGGGTGAGTCTTTTCCTTTTCTTGCCCTCAGTTTCTTTGGGTATGCCATTGAGGATGGGAGTGTTGGGTGAGTTAAGCTCTAAAGTTCCTCCCATTTCTAAATGACTGGTTTTGGGCCATGTGGTAGCTTCCCACCACCCATGGGAGTTCTGGCCTCAAGCACCCAGCTCCTCATTTCTTGATTCCCCTTCCTCTGCATCCTTCCTTCCATGATCCCTTTTCTTTGGTAGCTGTCTTGTTATTGAATCCCAGAGAGCCCCTGAAGGCAGGGGCGGCTATCCCCAATCTGCAGATGTGGCCATGCTCCTGGCACCTTGGGGTGCACAGGGATGGTTGTCCCACCCTGAGCCACTGACCTTCTCTCAAGACAGCCTTAAAACCAAACCAGAGACAGGCCACCACTTTCTGGTGGTGAGCTTTGAGGAACACTAACCCTGTGTGTCCCTACTGGCAGCTAGACACACTGCCACTCACAACTGAGGGAGTGACCACCTCTCTGGGCTTCAGGTGTACCAGGGTGCCACATGAGAGGGCTGTGAAGTGACTGTGAACTCAGCAGCCAGGAGCTTGGAGGCTGCCCCCTCTGGTGTCCAGCACTGAGCCATGGCTCTAGGGAACTCAGGTTCAGATTCTGCTTTGCAGAGTTCTCCCCTGATAATGCTTACCCCCTCCCCTGACTCCATAGCTCCCTGTCAGAGGCTCCTCAGCTATCCTGTTCCCCCGGCCATCTAACCCTCTCCTTTGTGCTATAACTGCAGATTTTTGCTGGTCTTCAGCTGCCTGGTGCTGTCCGTGCTGTCCACTATCCAAGAGCACCAGGAATTTGCCAACGAGTGTCTTCTTATCTTGGTGAGTGGTGGGAGGCCCAATCCGAGGAGGGTCTGTGAGCTAGCACCTTTGGGCTGAGGGTGGGGTAGAGTGACGCTTCTCAGACTTTGGTTCAGAAGGAGATCAACGGCCGGGGGTGGTGGCACATGCCTGTAATCCCAGCACTCTGGGAAGCTGAGGCAGGAGAATTTCAAATTCAGGCCCAGCCTGAGCCATTTAGTGACTTGGTGAGCCCCCATCTCAACATAAAAAATAAAAGATTGGGGATATAGCTCAGTGGCAAGGTCCGGGGTTCTATCCCCAATACTGTAAAAAAAAGCGGGGGAGTGAGTATTGTTGTGCTGTGGTGTTCCTCAAGTTGGTGCTCTCGATCTGGGCATCATCCTCCACTTTACAGCTGGTGTAAGAGGAACCCTTTGCCTCTGTATGAGGTCTTAATGATGGGTCCAGTGTAGACAAGGTAGGTAGGTTCCACCCCTTCTCAGGACAAAACTGCTAACTCCTAAACCAAAACATTGAACAGAAGCCCCTGGAGGTAGGTGCTGATGGACAGCCACCCCTTTAAGTCACTCAGGGCTCTAAAGTCTGGTGTGGCTGGGAGGAGGTAGGCAGGCTGATGAGCAGAAAAGTGCAGGCAATTTATGGGGGCAGGAAGTAGAAGGCAGACTTTTTGTTTTTTGAGACAGGGTCTCACTCTGTAATTCAGGCTGGCGTCGAACCGGAGGCAATCCTCCTGCCTCAGCCTCTAGAGTGCTGGGATTATAGGCATGCGCAACCCCGCCCGGCCAGATGGGTTTATAATCTCCTAAGAGGATGTGAAAAGGGTCATCTCCCTTCTGGAATCCTCCTAAATCCTTCCAGGTGTAAGAACTTCCAGGAGAGGGTCTTCGGAGGTGCTGCCCTCCTAACCCAGGGACTCTGGCAGGACTGTGTTCTGACCTGAGTCCTGGTCCCAGAGGACTGGGATCAGAACTCAGGCCCCTGGTCTCACAGGAATTCGTGATGATCGTGGTCTTTGGCCTGGAGTACATCATCCGAGTCTGGTCTGCTGGCTGCTGCTGTCGCTATCGAGGATGGCAAGGCCGCTTCCGCTTCGCCAGAAAACCCTTCTGTGTCATCGGTATAAGGCTGACCCCTGACCCCGAGCCCCAAGGTTGACCCCTTGACCCCATCCCTGCCCCTGACTCTGGCTATTTGTTTTGTTTTGTTTTTGGTACCGGGGATCGAACTCGGGTCCTTGCACCTGCGCAGCAGGCAGCGAAACCACTGAGCTAAATCCCCGGCCTGGCTATTGACACAGACTCGGAGACCTTCCCAATTCTTCGCGCCCCTACCCCCACGGCCCCAGGAACCCCGACCTTGGGTCCTGGGGCAGGGTGGGCTGGTGACCTCGCCACCCTCGCTCTGCCCTGCAGACTTCATCGTGTTCGTGGCCTCGGTGGCCGTCATCGCCGCGGGCACACAGGGGAACATCTTTGCCACGTCTGCGTTGCGCAGCATGCGCTTCTTGCAGATCCTACGCATGGTGCGCATGGACCGCCGCGGCGGCACCTGGAAACTGCTGGGCTCCGTGGTCTACGCGCACAGCAAGGTGGGGACGGCGCGCGGAAGCGGAGGCGGGTCTGCGCCGAACGCGGGGCCGGCCGGGCAGGGTGGGGCGGGGCCTGACGCGGAGGCGGGGCCTGACGCGGAGGCGGGGCCTGCGGGCTCCGGAGCCGGGCTAGGAGGGCTAAACGGGAGTTCACCCGGGAGCTACTGGGTTTGGGGGCGCATCGCGCACTGCCAAGTGGGGAGCTGGGGTGGTGGGCCGGGACTAGATATAGGGGCCCAGTCGAATCCTGAAAGTAGGGCCGATGGCGAACAAGATGGGCTGGGTGGTGGAGGTCTGAACCTGAAACCCGGCGGGTCAGGGGCAGGTCCAGGAGTCCTGGTGATTGGAGAAGGCGGGACAGGGTTTCCTTGATGTGGGGAGTGCAAAAGGCGAGCTGAACCACCGCCGGGGACTGGGGAGGGGGTACGTTTATCTTCAAGGCCATGGCCCAGTGGGCACCGCTCCTCAGGCCCCTCCACCTGCCCCACCCCCCCACCCCCAGGAGCTGATCACCGCTTGGTACATCGGGTTCCTGGTGCTCATCTTCGCCTCTTTCCTGGTCTACCTGGCGGAGAAGGACGCCAACTCTGAATTCTCCTCCTACGCCGACTCGCTGTGGTGGGGGACGGTACGTGGAGAGTCTGTGCAGGGCTGCCCTTCTCCGAGGACTCTCCCGGGAGACTTTCTGAGATCTGTCCGTTATGACTCAGGGTTGAGCGGCCTGTCCCTGTCCCCTTGCACTAGGGTTGGGACTCTTTGTGATCAGCCCCTATTCTGGTCCCCCGACCTGCTCTGGTGGGCTCGTTTGTGCTCCCTTTTAGCCCCTAGCTCAAGTCCTTTCCCCTGACCAGCAGTGGAGGAGAATCCGTTTATGCCCCTACAGCCCTCATGACAAGACCTTGTGACCAACCCCCGTGGGCGACCACGTTGTGTGGGGGCCTGTGATCAATTCCCTGTGATCAGTCTCCCACCTGCCTGTGCCCCCCAAGTCCTGGTGGGTGGCCCCTGTCACCAGTCCTCTGGGTAACCCATTTGTATCCTCAGATTACACTGACGACCATTGGCTATGGTGACAAGACACCACACACATGGCTGGGCAGGGTCTTGGCTGCCGGCTTCGCCTTACTGGGCATCTCCTTCTTTGCCCTGCCTGCTGTGAGTTGCCCTCTGCTGGGTTGGTGGGGGAGGCCAGGGGCAAGACTTCGTCATCTCCTGTCGCAAATTTGCCTGCACAGCCTGGAGCACCTCAGATGGGACATCCTTGCAGCCTGCTGTGGCCCCCATTTCCCATGTTGCTCCAATCATGCACTGTCCCCCTAGGGAATCCTTGGCTCTGGCTTTGCCCTGAAGGTCCAGGAGCAGCACCGGCAGAAACACTTTGAGAAGCGGAGGATGCCAGCAGCCAACCTTATCCAGGTATGCAGTGCCCTGGCTCTTGGCACAGGGTGATTTAACAGACCTGGTATGCAGACCCCTGTGTCCCCACTCTGGTTGCTCACCCCTGTGTGCAGCCTCACAACTGGGACTTCACTTGGAAGCTTAGACAGGGTTGTCCTTTTCTGGGGTTGCATGCCAAATCACAGAGCTGAGTTGCTGCCTGATATTTCAGAAACTTTTCTCTTCTTTATCAAATGTCCAGTTTGGGGCTCACCAGAGCCATTCCATCACCAGCTCTGGCCTCAGCTCTACATGTGCTGGCATGGGGTGGAGGCTGGACAGGAGGCCCCAGGCCCTGTTGGAGATCCAGCTCTGATGCCCCTCAGCTGCAGCTGTCAGTCAGTCTGCTGCGCTCCAGGCACCTTCATTCAGTCATTAATTCCCCAAGCATCACACAAATGAAGAGAAGATGGGGTAGGACTGAGCTTTTAGGGACGCTAACACTTACTGGCCAGGTGGGAAAGGAGCCAGTCAGGAGACCGGAAAGGAGCAGCCAGAGGAGTGGATGGAATGCCAAGAGCTTGTGGTCTCAGTTTCCCTCAGTGTGATGAGTGATCTGAGTGGCTATGGGGTGAGGCCAGGGCTCTGATTTTCTGTGACCCTGTGAGTAGATCTTGACTTCTCCCCAGTCCGGGGTATATGCAGAACTCTGTGCAGGAAATGGGTTGGAGAATACTGGCACCCCTTCTGCCTGTTCCCCACACACTACTTTCTGACCCATCAGCTCAAGTCTGACTCGGTCGCTCCTTATCTCTCCTCCCCTGGGTGGAACCCCGCATCCCATCCCTGCTATCTCCAGCCACCAGCCCAGCCCTTTCTTCTTAGTGTCCCTTGGGGCACAATGGCCACTGTCCCCTGGGAGCTGGCTTTCCGAGGGGCATTGTAGGGGCAGGTGGCTGGCACCATCCATGGCGAGAGACAGCTGGTATTGTGGTACCCATAATTAATGAGACAGCTCTGGCAGCTGCTCCCTGGCCCATGCCAGGGACCTAGGCAAGCAGGAAGTAAAAATATTTCTGTCTTAGGAAGGCGCCTGGCCGGTGAGGTCAGCGGTGGCAGCCCCTTAAGGACAAGAGGTACCCAAAGAAGGGGGGCATCCATGGCCCAGTTCTGCTTTGTCCTGCCTAGCAGCTTCTATATCCCCTTGCCCTGGCTGATCACACCACTCACAGTCCCTCCTTGGCTTTTCTCCTTATCTGGAGGGAGAGGGACAGTCCTTCCTTCATCTGACCTCCATTCCTCCTGCTGCAGAGAAAGCCTTGTAAGTCCATGGATACTTAGGAATTGGTGGGGGATGCTCTTTCTTCCCTTGCTCGGACTTTAGTATTCCCATGGGAAGTGACAGGCAACTGGGAACAGTGGAGTAGAGTTACTTTTTTTTTTTCTCTAATGGTACTGGGATTTAACCCAGGGCCTGCATACTGAACTCCATCCCCAGCTCTTTTTAAATTTTCTTATTTTGAGGTAGGGTCTCACTAAGTCTCTGAATTGCCCAGACTGGGCTCGAGTTTGAGATACTCCAGTCTCATCCTCCCAGAGTGCTGGGATTACAGGCATCTGCCACCATGACAGGCTGGAGAATAATTCAGTTGCATTCACTTCCCAAATATTTGCAGGACACCTACGTGTGCCGGACACTGTACTTGGCATTGAAGATATAGTGGTGACCAAGACACAGCTTATAGTCCAGGGGAAGAAGACGTTAACCAGCCACAATGAATAGATATTTATCAGATGTGATTATGGAACTACCAGAAGGGCCCAACAGGGGAGCCTGGCATTGAGTGCCCACTACGTGCCAAGCACTAAGCTTGGCATTGGATAGACATCTGTCCATTTAACCCTCACAATGCTCTGTCCAATCCATTCTCAGGTGAAGAAACTGAGGTTCTGAAGCCTTACTCATCAGGGGAAGAGCTGGGCTTATAACCTACATTTGCCTGATGACAAAACCCCAGCTCTTAACCCTGGGCTCCACAGCCCCTTGCTCTGGTGGGATCTGTGTCACCTGGGGGAAGTCACTGCTCTCTAGGCCTTGACTGGCCCTGCTGGGGGCTATGGAGTTGGAACTGGCTTCTGGCTCTGCATAACTCTTAGCTGGCCAGCAACTGGGTTCCTTCAGGGGCAGAGGGCTGGTGGGGGTGCTGGGAGGACTCACTGAGGCCCCCTCTTACCCACATTCCCCATGCCCCCAGGCTGCGTGGCGCCTTTACTCAACTGATACGAGCCGGGCCTACCTGACGGCCACCTGGTACTACTATGACAGTATCCTCCCATCTTTCAGGTATGTCCTGCTGGGCCTGGGAGTGGGTGGGGGGCCGGCAGTGATGCCCCTTGAGCACAAGTGGCTGGGACGCAGCCCTGGAGGGTGGGGAGGGGCAATGACTCCCAAGGGAGCATCCTGGGCTAGCTCTGCAGTCCTGCGTAACTCAGAGCGTGGAGGGTCCTCTCTGTACTCTGCTGTGCCCGGGAAGAAGTGGACACTTGACGTGGGACATTGGTGCAGCTCTGCCCCATAGCTGAACCCCGGCTCCTGGAGTGTTGGCATTTCACATGCTCACCCATAGGTGGTGCCACCCAGGGCAGTGGCCCAGCCAGCTCATCTCCCATTTGGTCTTGAGTGGGGCAGATTGTTAGTCCTTAGCAGCCTGGTGTATCGCAGCTGTTTGGAGAGTATGGAATGGCAGGCAAGTGTGCTAGGGCTGCCCCATGTGTGTAACCATGTGCCCACTGTTACTGTGCCAGGCAGCCGCTTCAGCGCTCAGAAGTGGGTCTGCCCCACTGGCCTAGGCTGGGCTAAGGCTGTATGGGGTTACTCCATGCAGGAGGTTATTAATAGTATCATCAGGGTGCATGTGGCCAGGTCCTGACCAGGCCTTGGGGCAGGAATGAAGACCACAGAGCTGGCTCAGTCCACGGGCAGGCGGCAGAGTGTGGCTGGGCCAGGCTGCTGTGCTCAGCGCTTCTGTGCACCTTTTCTGTCTCATTAGTTCTCCAAGAGCAGCTGTTGCGTGATCCCACTCCCCACACCCGGCCCCTCCTGTTCCTTGCCCGCCCTAAGGGCTTCCCAGGGGATGAGCAGGAGACGGGGGGGCAGGGACAGGGCCTCCTGGCATCACCTGCCCCATCTCCCCACCTGGCAGAGGCAAGCTCCCACCTCAGAGACAAGGATAGCAGCTAGAGGGGAAGAAGCCTCCTTTTCCAGAGCAGCCCTAAGCGCTCCAGGCCAGGCAGAGGCATGGGGCAGGGGCAGACTGTTAGCGGTTGATGTGGGGGGCGGTGGTCTGAATCCCCTGGTAAGAGGGATAGAGCCTGGTCTGGGTTCACTGGGCCTTCTGCTCCCTGGATCTCAGTTTTTCCACCCCTGCAATGGGAAGGCAGGCAGCAGAGAGGGACTATGGCAATAAGAAGAGGACTGGGGAGTTAGGGAGTGGCTAGAGCTCCAGATCCTGTCTCCAGAAATCCAGCGGCAGGGGTGAACACCAGGGGAGCAAACCTGGGCCAGCCACTCTATCAAATCTCCATCCTCAGCCTCAGTCCCCTTGACATACACCATCAGAGAGGGAGGCTAAGGATTTTAGGGCTGCTGTTGGCCTTCTGCTAGGCATAGCTCCGTGTCCAGGCAGTTGACCTGATGAACAGTCAGCTGGATCTCAGCTCTTACGTGTCACCTTGTGTGGATACTCTTGAGTTGTGCCCAGCCCGCACAACCATCCTTGGCATCCCTAAGGATTTCCCAGGAACTGAGTGGAGAAAGCAGGGGAGAGAGCCACTCTCCCACCCACCACCCACCACCCACCACCCATTTGCTCTGGCCTGGGGTATTTGTGAGCACCCTCAGAGAGGCAGGACCAGGCAGGATGTGAGCTGAGGAGCTCAGTGCCCACTGGGTGAGGGGGCTGTGCCCCAGCCTTGCCAGCAGCTGACAGCGCCCTCTCCTGCAGAGAGCTGGCCCTCTTGTTTGAGCACGTGCAACGGGCCCGCAATGGGGGCCTACGGCCCCTGGAGGTGCGGCGGGCGCCAGTACCCGACGGAGCGCCCTCCCGCTACCCGCCCGTTGCCACCTGCCACCGGCCAGGCAGCGCTTCCTTCTGCCCTGGGGAAAGGTAGGGGCCCCCTGGGGCCGCCACCTCCTCTTGCTTCTCCTCTTCTTCCATTCTGTGTCTCATCCTCTCTCAGACCTGCCTCCAGCCACTGCGTGGGTGTCTGGCCTGTTTGGGGGACTCCCACACCTTGTCACAAGGCCTGGGTGGTTGTCGTTGGATATCCAGACAGGTACAGACCGATGGCCTCCCTGGAGAGGCCAGGCTGCACTCACCTTTACGTCGCCTGGGACTCAGGGTCTGAGCGGGAGCGATGTCCACGTCATCCTTTCCTGTCACCTCCTCCATTCATGCCATTGTACTCTTTCTTTCTCTGTTTCCACATACCCCTTACTCCTCCATCCCTGCACCCCCATCCCTCCCCGGAAGCTGGAGAGAGGAGGAGGCCGCTGGCCACAGGTGCTTACGGCTCAGGTAATCGTGGGCATCATTCTGGGTGTGAGGGCAGGGAACCCCCTCCCCTGGCATGTTGCTCTGGGAGGGGCCTGACACTGCACTCGTCTCTCGGGACCCAGCTGCCAGCTGGAAAGAGAGCTCTGTGACTGAGACTGCTGTAGGACCCGTTCAACCCAGCCAGCGACTAATGCTCTTGTTTTGTGCAGTCCTTGTCTACAGCCTTGCTAACCCCTGAGGGGCCTCTGGGAAGTCTCTTTTCTTCATCATTGACCATCTGCCCTGACTGTCTCTTTCCCCTTGACCTGTCTCTCCTGAAGCTTTTTGCATCTTGAAAGAACCAAGAAAGAATGATGTTGCCCCTAATAAATGTTCATCAATGGAGGAAATCCAGGCCTATTGGATAAAGGAAGCCCATCCACTCACAGGATAGGGAACGTGGCTGCTTCTGTGGAGGTGTAGCTCTGAGGTCAAGGGTTCAGTTCCCCCATCCCTTCCTTGTCCTTTACCCATATCTTTGTTTGGCTTCATCTTCACACATCATCACGGAACCAGCCAGGTAGACATCTGGGCCTTGAGCCTCAGGTGTAATTCTGAGCCCCAGGCCCAGAACAAGGAATCAGGGAAGAGGTGAGCCCCTTAGTGATCCAGAGGAGGTGTGGTAGAATCTTGCCTCTGCCACCTGATGCTGTGTGTCCTTGAGAAAATCAAGTCACTGTTCCTGGCAGAAAATCAAGGATGATCAGGGCCTCTGGGTTCTCTGAGTTTCTGGGCTGAAGAGGTCTGGAGAATGGGGTGATGGGGGTGTTTTGGTGTAGAGGTTTCAGGGAGCAGCATCCCTTCCCTGTACTCGGTGAGGGTATTTTGGGGTCAAGGGCTGAACAAGGAGTGGATAGTAAAGGAGAGCCTCTCCAGGTCTGGAGCTGAAGGAGGGGAGGTATGAGCAGCCAGGCCAGGCTAGGTAGGAGCTTCCTGGAAAAGTCTATGGTATGGCTTCACTCGGATTCTCTATCTCTGCTGAAAATCCTCACTGTTATCTCATTCCTACCACATCATTGTTTGTAGGCAGAAACTCAAAAGTGTTTGCATTCCAGAAACCTGCCCAGGACCTAAGCACGGTCTCTCTGTAGCTTCCAGTTCATGTTCAGCTCACCTGGACTGAATAGGAAGGCACTGGGAATGGAGATCCTATACTGCCCTCCTGGCTTTTCTGGGCCCCTGAGCCCCCAGAGCCCAGGAACAGATTACTGCTGAAGGCTCGACCATCACCAACTCCCAGCTTATGTCCATCTGCCCCAGAGTGTCTGTGTGTCTGGGATCCATGGTGATAGTGGTAGAGTGTCCCTTCTTCCCCAAAACTCCAGGGAGCTGAGTTGTGCCTTCTGAATCAGTCACCAGGGTCAGGCCAACTGGCCATATCCTTAATCTTGGCATTCTGGGCCTTATGGGATGGGTATTTCAGTCAGGGTATCCAAATATACACAGACATACACACACCTGGTTGGCCACATCCACAGTGGTGCTTGGAGACAGACCCAAGCTGATCATGTTGAGCTGTACCAGAAAGTAGAGCTCCAAGGAGCAAGACTTTCTGGGGAATGGCATTCCCAGGACCAGCACCTGGCCTCTTAGAGTTCTGCAATGAGTTTCTCAAAGCGTGGTCTCCTCACCACCTGCATCAGCATCCCATGGAGCATGTGTCCGAAATTCATATGCTGGCCCTATCCACAAGTCTGAAGGGTCAGACTCTGGAGAAGAGGCCTAGAATTCTGCACATGTATCCTGTTCCCAGGAGATCCTTATGCAGAGCTTGAGAACTACTGTCTTTGGAGGATGAGGCTGGAGGGTGACTTGGGTGGGGGGTCCTTCTCTCCCACCAGCCACAGGAGGCCGGCCCCATCCTGGCAGCTCCTTGTGCTCTCCAAACCTGCCTTCTTGTCACTAACCTCTGTTCGTGTCTTGTTCTCAACTTTCCAGCCAGATGTTTAGTAATAAACGGAGTTTCTTTCGGATCCACGCCAGCTGGAGACCGAGGTACCCCCTTGCCTCCTCCTCCTGTCCCCACTTCTCCTTGTTCCCCCCAGTTTGGGGGCTGGAGAGAGGGACAGGATGAGCCAAGAACAAGGTGCATGTGCCTGCCGCCTGCCATCTGCCTTGGGGCCCTGACGAGCCCCTTGCCGTCCTGGGGATGCCTCTGCCAGGTCTGGGGCATGTGTCCAGTGCGCTGGAAGGGACACCTGAAGGAGCCCTGGGGATGTGTATTGGCTCTGCCGCTGACCCCTGTTTGACCTTGGCCAAATTGTTTTCCTTCTTTGGACCTCAGTTTCCCCTCTGTGGAATGAGCAGATTGAACTAGAGGCTCTCTAAGGGTCCTTCCCACTCTGACTTGTGCTGGGCCCTGGGTTTAGCTTCCTGTCTCCCCACTACCCATCTGGGAACCCCACAGATGCCTGAAGGGCTAGGCCTGGCAACTGCTTCACCAGCTCCAGAGTGCCAGCTCTTTTAGCTGCATCACTACATTCAGTGCTGTGTCCCCTGTGCCAGGCCCTATTCTGTACCCTGGGGACACAGTTATGGATAGAACATGGTCCCTGAAGAGTTGCAGAGTAATTGTAGTTCAGTGCCATGAGGGCCACAAAAGGAAGAAGCAGAGAGTCTATGGAGCCTGAGTTGGGCACCTAGAGGTAAGGTAGCCCTGAAAGGCAGGGAAGTAGGAGAGCATAGCAGGGGAGAAAAGGCCCTGGCCCCATTGGCCAGAGCTGAGAGTTGGATGTCAGAGCTGAGGATGGGAGTGGAGCTGGGTCGGGAAGAACCCAGAAGCCAATGTGGGCTTCATCTTGTTGGCATTGCCTGGTGGCCTGGGTTTGTGGAGCCTGGGTTTCCCACAGGTGCCTCTGGAGTTTTATAGTAGCAGATGATGGACAGAGCCCCTGGCTGGCTGTATGTGCTTCTGCCAAGAGACAGCCTTTCCTAGAAACACGTATTCTGGATCACAGTCTAGCCATTAATCACTACCATGTGTCTTTGGGCAAATCACATTTTTCTGTCATGCCTCAGTTTTCTCTGAAATGCAGGTGATTATAGGATCTGCTTCCACTAACAACACTATGCCTAGCTCCTATAAACGTTGGCCTCATTTGATTTGGTACATTTGGAAGTTAAGATCTTACTTTAAAAAACAGCTTGGGAACCATGGCTGTAGGAAATGGGAGCACACTGAGGATGTCTGGGTCAGGCCTGGCTTTCTGCAGGATTGTCTGTGGTGTGCGGGAGGGACTGAAGGGCATGGTTGGGGCACTGCAGGGGCCAGAGAGGCCAGCAGAGAGGGTACTTCCATAATCCCTGAAGGCAGCCATGGGCAGCATCACAGGAGTAGGCTGCTTGTCCCCACCGTGAGCTGACCATTGGAGATGGAGGATGAGTCCTAAAGAAGTTCCTTGAGGATGTGAGTGCAAGGGACTGGGTCCAGCAGGGCAGCCAGAAGGCAGCCTGTGCCAGAGCTTGCCTTCTCCCAGGACAGCCCCAGTCAAGCCCACCCTGTCCTTCCCCCAGGCACCCACAGACTCATCGACCACAGTTGCTCAACTTCGGCACCACTGACATTTTGAACTGGAGAATTCTTTTTGATAGGGGGCTATCACATGTATTGTGGGATGTTTCGCATTGCTCCTGGCCTCCACCCATTAGATGCCAGGAGTGCCCCACAGTGTGACAACCCAAAATGTCTCTGGACATTCCCAGATGTCCGCTGGTGGGCAAAATCATTCCTCATTGAGAGTCACTGCCCTAGTTCCTACCCTGCATGCATGTCCTGAAAAAAGAACACAGTGTCTAAGTCCGAGAAACTTTCTCCATCCCACAAGAGCTCAGCAACCTCACAGAGTTATTTCTCCTCTTTCCTCATCATACAATAGGGAATGCAGATTCAGGACGCCCCCCACCAAGTGGCAGAGAGGATTAGAACCCTAAGGTCGGCAGGCAGGGCCCTTGTGTGCTCCAGGAGCCTGGGAAGGGGAAGAGCTCTTTGGTGCCCATGGTGCCAAGTTTCTTTCCATTTTCTTTGAGCTTTCAGGCTCCAGAGAGGCTGACGTGAGCCATTTTCTGGGCTCTGCCCAAGGAGCTGGAATCTAGGTCTGCTCCTGGGAAAAGTGTCTTCTTGCACTAAAGAGGAGCCCAGGGCCTTGGACTGGCTGGAAAGTTACAGAAGCTCTCTCCCCCATCACAGAATCAGAGCCGGAAAGGGACCTTTCAAGGCCTCTAGTGCAAGTCTCAGACCCCTTCTTCCAAAAGTTCTGCACATTCAGCCTTGTCTGCACATTTCTCGAGACAGGGAGGTCACCCTTTCTCCAGAACACCTTTGGAGCCTGCTTGCTGGGTGCACTGAGCAGGAGGAGTTCCAGGCCCTTGGCTGAAGTGTTAGGGCCTTCCCTAGCCTCTGCTCTTCCTCTCCTCCTTGCAGGAGTGGAGGACAGGGACAGAGGTTGCACGGACTCGGGGGTGGGGGTGCTTGCCAGCATGAGGAGAGCCCGCAGGAATGGCTCTGCAGAGGAAAGTTTGGGAGAGTGGCCCTCAAACTTCTGTTGGAATCTTTGGGATGTGTCAAGGGGATCTTGGGCCAGTGAAGAGCATGCTGGATTGTGGGAGCAAGCCCTGTCCTTCCCTTCTGATATTCTCAGGACCCCAATCCGTGACTTATAACCTCAGTCCTCTGGGCAGAGGCTCCACCTCTAAGGGTGGCCCAACATCCTGGCCACCTTCCTGAAGGTGCCCCTGGTTTCAAGATCTCCCTGACCTCAGCACCTTGCTCTACTGTACCTTCTGTCCCATGCCCTGGCATGGAGTACCCCACCTCCCAGCCAACACCGAAACCAGAGCCTGTCCTCTGCTCAACCCTTGATCTGAAAGTCTTGACAGTAGGTGACACAGCTCCTCCCTCAACTCCTGCCCCATCTCAGGGCTCCTCTAAGACTGGCAGATGCTCTCCTGGGCTGGGGCCCCTAAGCCTGTCTGCAGTGGCAAACAACAGCAGGGGAGGCAGCAGCAGTGCCACAGGGTATGGGGTGGGTGTTTGGACGGGTCCTTCCTACACAGCAACCAGCAACAGTGTGACTTTGAACCTCTTGGACACAGAGTTACTCTGCCCTGAATTGGTTAGCCAAGACCCATCTGGGAACCTGAGGTCTACCCCACCTGTCTTCTTCCAAAGTTTGGGGGATACAGTGGGGATCTGGGTGCAGGAAGGGAATTCAGAACCCATTGTCCAGACACACGTGTATCATGTGCAGACAGACATGTGGCTTGAACTGGGAGCTCAGCAGGCAGTGTGAGGGGTTGGTCTTTGAGGGGGATCCAAGACCACATGGCAAGACATCAGTCCAGGTGAGCAGAACTCAGAGGAAATCACAGAAGTCCAGGTTATCAAATAGTCCCTCTCTGGGAGTGTGGGCGCTGGGTGTGGGCCAGCAGGTAGACCCACAGGGCCCAGGTTCTCAGCAGGCCATCACACTGCAAGCCTTGCTGGGAGCTGTCACATGGAAGTCTGTGTGAAGGGAGCCTTATTTTGCAACGCACCTGCACAGTCATACCAAGTCCTAAATCTCTGACCTGAAAGTTCGGGGTCAGACTGTTCTAGTAGCGGGGAAAGGAGGAAAATATCAAGGTGCACGCATGCCATACACACACACACACACACACACTGGTACCTGTGTACCCAGGCTCACGCACACACCCTCCTCCTCAACTGAAGCCCCTGTGCACAGTGGGACTGGAGCCTGGTTCAGTGCTCACAGCCAGGTGTGCTTTGTCCCTCAGCACCCTGTCTGTGCACAATGGGGTCGAGACCTCCACCCTAGCCTGAACCACGCACCTGGGCCAGACACAGACCCTCCATCCTCCTGTCCGTCTCTGACTTCCTTCCTGGGTTTCTGTCACTCCTACTCTGACATCTGTCTCCTGTGCACCCTTATCTGTCTGGGCAAGGAGGGGTGGGAGGTAGGGCTGGGGTGGGGATGTGCTCCAACTGATCCAGTTTCAGACTTCCTGTAGAAATCAGCCCCCTCTCCCCATCACACCCCTTTCCCATCCCACGAAGTCTCTGCTTGGTCGGGAATCAAGACCCAGTAGTCAACCCCAAGTCCTCGGTCGTCTTTGTTCCTACTCACCCCCTGCCCCAGGACTGGCTAACTTGTTCTCTCCCCAACCTGTCCTGCCCTGCCAGCAGCCGGATGGGCATCAAAGACCGCATCCGCATGAGCAGCTCCCAGAGGCGGACAGGTCCTTCCAAGCAGCACCTGGCACCCCCTCCAATGCCCACCTCCCCAAGCAGCGAGCAGGTGGGTGAGGCCACCAGCCCCACCAAGGTGCAGAAGAGCTGGAGCTTCAACGATCGCACCCGCTTCCGGGCCTCTCTGAGACTCAAACCCCGCACCTCTGCTGAAGGTGAGCCCTGGGAGGTCTGGGGCCTTTGTCCTAGGCTGGACTAGAAGTACCCTAAGGCAGCTGGCCACAGGGGCAAATGAGTATGTGGCACCCTGGGCAGGGTAGTGAGGGGCAGCAGCCAGGGAGGCAGGAGCTTGGTCTGCCTTGTGCCCCAGGAAGGTTCTGGGCCCTTCCTGGGACTCTGTCATCCTAATGGAAGTGGGGGTTGGGAGCAGACCCTTCTGCGGCCACCATCATCCTTGTCTTTTCAGAGGGCCCCACAGATGAAGGACCAGAAGAGAAGAGCTACCAGTGTGAGCTCACAGTGGACGACGTCATGCCCGCTGTGAAGACGGTCATCCGCTCCGTCAGGTGAGACTGAAGCCTGAGGCAAGCATCCCCTTCCATCTGCCACCCACAGCTGCTCCCCATCTGAGCCTGCCCTCATGGCCAGACCTGGCCTAGCTCCCAGTGTGCCAGCTGCTGCCCGCCTGGAGTGCGGCTGGAGTGGGAAGGTGGCATATGGCTTCCAGCAGGTTTGCTCCTCTGCTCCTATGCAGAGGATTGGCTCCGATGGCCCGTGGACATGGCTGCTTATCTTGGTCCTTGTTCTCATACCCAGCATCCTCCCAGTCACTCCCACCCCCCCTTCTTCCCTTTCCCCTTCCAGTTCTCTGTCTTCCACTCCATGTCAGGTGTCTCTGTCCCTCCCCTAGTCCTCTCCTTCCCCTCCCCCTCCTCTTCCCCCTTTCTCCTCCCTCTTGCTTTGCCTTTCTCTTCCTCCAGCTGTACAGATGCCTCCCTGCTTTCCTGGGGTCTCTGTCCCTGCTCTCTTTCCTTGCCTCTTTGTGTCTCAGTCTCAGTCTCCTTTGGCCTCTATGTCTCAAACTCTCTTTCCTTGGTATCTTACTCTCCATCTGTGTGTTCGCACCAGGACTGTCTCTAGGGCAGTGCTTTTTAAACTCCAGAAAGCGATGGTTTGAAATCAACTTAGTGAAACCAAGTTAGTGGGGCACAGTCAGCATTTAAAACAAAACAAAACAAAAAATAAAAAACGTAGGAATGCATCTCTCATATTAAGGGTAAATCATGTTTATGTAATTTTTATTTCAGTTATCCCTATGTGTGTTCATGTGCATGTGTATGTATGCTGGTTTTCAATGTAGAGTGCGTTTCTTGTGGTAGATCTTGGTCAGAAAAGTTGTACAGGATGTCTGTGCTTCAGCAGTTAAGTGGACACCAGTCTCCTGAGTCCTGTAGCCATGGTCCAGTGGTGGACTCGGCCCCCAGCTCCTCGGCAAGAAATCCTGGCCCTGTCTCCCGCTTCCCGCCTGAGGTTCTAGCTCCAGCGGCCCCTGAACCCCAGGACTTCTAGACTTCCTTCCTTCCTCGTGGGCTCCCCTCCCTCCTCCCAGGCCCACACTCCTGCCCACAGGTCTCTTCCTTTTGTTTTCCTTTTGAAATCAGTCATCTGGATCCTCTCCTCAGAGTCTGGACCTCTCTTCACCCCCTTTCCAAGTGTCCTGTCTCTCCCCTCCTACAACCATTATCTGGAACACAGTGCCAGAGCTGTGACGGGTATGCTGTCCTTGGCCACTCCACAGACCCCTCACACCTAGCATGTGCCAAACCTGCTACTCCTCCTGGGGTTTCCATTCACACAGTGGCACCGCCATCCACATGTCACTGCAGCATGGGAATCATCCTGGTCCCAGAAGCCTTTCAGCCTCATCTCTTGAGTTGCCCCAAGCTGTCCTAGAGCCCCCACTGAATTGCCCCCCGCCAGCTCAGGCCTGGCCCCTGGGGCCAATCTTCCTGCCTGTGACCCTGGCCCTCCAGGCCATTCTCCACACGGGCTGGCACAGAGGTCCTGCTAAAGCAGAGGGAACAACCCGCCTTCAGCCCAGGGCCCAGTCTCTGCCAGAGACTTGGGGCTCTTCACAGTCCTTTCAGCCTCCCCTTAAAGCCCATCTCCTCTGCGTCCTCATTGACCCCGCCCCCCGTCGACCCTTTTCCATCATGTCCCTGCCCTCAGGACCGAATCTCACTCACACCCCTCCATGCCTGCCTACTTCCCCGAATTGGAAGTGGACTCTCATTCCACTGCACTCCTTTTGTCCTGGGACTGGGAAATGGCACATTCAGGACTTGTCCCTGACCTCTCTTGCTGGCACCTTCCCTTCTCATGACCCCAGGCTTTCTTCCTCCATTCTTTGAACCTGGACCTTGATACCCCATAATTGCATGGGCCCTCTTGATCTCCCACCCCAGAAGAGGCAGGGATTGGCTCTGACTTCCCTCGGGTGCCCCAGGCCCAACACAGTGATGCCAAGTATTCACAGAGTGAATGTAGTATTTGTCCCCCCAAGCTGTTAGCAGCAGCTGGTGTTCACAGATGCCCTTTGTCCCACCCAGCCGACAGACACCAGGTCCAGTCCCTGCCCTCCCAGGCTAATACGACTACAGATAGCCGTGGGGAACACCACACCAACCGATGGGAATGCAGGGGAAGGGGAGAGTGATAGGTGGGTAGAAAGGCTGGAGGACTCAGCGGAGGTTACTTGCAGTGGCCCGAGCAGGTGCCCTGACACTGGACACGGAGGGTAGCAAAAGGGACGGAGAGAGGCTGGAAAAATAATCCCCTATGGGAACGGACCATCTCTGTGAGTCTCTCTCTTGACAGGATTCTGAAGTTCCTGGTGGCCAAAAGGAAATTCAAGGAGACGCTGCGACCATATGACGTGAAGGACGTCATCGAGCAGTACTCGGCAGGGCACCTGGACATGCTGGGCCGGATCAAGAGTCTGCAGGCTCGGTGAGTTCCCAGCCCTGACCCTTGGCGCTAGGTCTGAGCTGCTGAGCTCCAGAGCCTGGTCACTGACACCCGGATGGAGTCCTGCGCTCCCCCTAGGGACCACCGCTGCAGCAGGGGTTTCTGCACAAACAATGTCCCCAGGCTTGCAGGGCGAGGCAGAGGCCAGACCCTGCACCTGTCTTGAGGCTGAAGGAAAACTCAGCCATACAGATCTGCACACCTCAGGCTTTCTTTAGAATGACTTTTTCCTGATCCTAAAATAATTGGCCTAAAAGAATAGCCGACCTCCCATCTCCCAAAGGGAGATAGGCAAATTGTCCTTGATGCCCACTTTATGCCTCTGGAATCCTGCCTCTTTTCTCTAGGCCAAGCTTTAAAGGAAGAATCCTTACACCAAGATCCAAATCACCTACACAGTCCCAGCCCATCCATTCATTCTCTCAAGAAATAGCCATTAGGCATTTACTATTCACCAGACAGTGGGGATGTGGTGGAAAGCAAATCTGAGTCCCTGACCTACCCAGCTGTCATTCTAGTAGGAGAGCAGATGATGAAACTAGTCTGTATCAGATGATAACAAGTGCTAAGGAGCAAATAAGGATTCGCATGTCAGGGTTTACAATTTAAATACATGAGAAAGTGATATTTGAGAAAAAATTGAAGGAAATGAGACAACCAGACCTGCCACTGTTGAAGCAAAGCATTTCCAGAGGGAACAGCAAGTTGAAAGGACTTGAGATGGGTCAGTGGCTGGAGTGCTGTGTTAGAACAGCAGGGAGCCCAGTATGACTAGACTGGAGCCAGAGAGGTAAGACATGAGGGCAGAGGGCTAAAAGCACTTAGGCTGTAGAAAGCCCTGTAGTCCACTGCAAAGACTGACATTTATCCAGGGTGAGCTGTGAGCACTGGAGGGCTTTGTGTAAAGGACTGATAAGATCTGAATTATCTTTTAAAAGGATCCCTGTGGCTGCTACTGTATTGAGAACAGACTATATGGGAGCAAGGGTAGAAGCAGGTAGACCTATGAGGCACCTACTTCGGAAGTCAGGCCAGAGATGATGGAGACTTGGACCAGGTGCAGCTGTGGAGGTGGGACAAGTGGTCAGATTCTGGATATAGTCTTTCTCTTACACCCCATCAGAAAATCCCAGTGATAGGCTATTAGAGAAGAGAGAGAAAAAATAAAGCCAAGGTTTTTGGCTTGAGCAAGAGGGAAAATGGAGTTGCCACTTACTGACCTGGAGGAAGCAAGGAGTGCAGTGAGTTTCAATCAGGAGAGGTTGTGACTGGCGACATTTGTGATGCCTATCAGCCAGCCAGCTAAAGTGTTGATCTGGCAGCTAGATATAGGAGTGTGGAGTTTAGAGGAGAGGTATGGGATGAAGATAAAGGTTTAGCTATAGGTTCAAACCCATTTCTTAAAAAAAAAAATTGGTGTCAGCAGGTATAGAGGGATTGAAATCATGGGACTGAAGACATGACTTTGACCTAGCAAGTGAGAGTAAACTGAGACAAGCGGTCCCAGGAGCCAGCTTTGGGTCTTGTAATGTTTAGAGATTGTGGACACAGAAGAGGAAACAGCCAGGAAGTCTGAGAAGGAGAAGGCAGGGAGGTCGGGGAGAACAGCAGGGAGATGGAGACCAGGGTAAGGATGGTGTTTAGGAATCCAAAGGAGGATGTTTACAGGAAGATGGGGTGATGAGATTTGTCAAGTGCTGCTGCTAGGTCTAGTAAAAAGAAGCACAGAGAGTGAATCATTGGATTTAGCAACATGGAGTTCACTGGGGAGCCTGATAATAGCAGTTTTGTGAAACGGGGGTACAAACCTGATTGGAGGAAGTTTAAGAGAGAAAGGAGAAGAATTGGAGGTTGAGGTTAGTGGAAGTAGAAGAAGGTGAGATCAGTTCACCTTGCCCCTTTAGTGACTCACAATCCCACCTGTCCCCCCCCTTTCCCAGCCCACCATCTTCCATTGTTGTTTTATTTTTCATGCTCGTGTAATGGAGGCTTTGCTCAGTCAGTTGGAGAACCCCTAAGGCAGGGGTTGCTCTCCCCACCCCAACTCTGCCTCCATTTGGAAGGGCAATGGGTTCCTCCCACTGGGCCAGGCTGTCTTCCCTTTCAGCGGGCAACAAACAGTTCTTGTGGGAAGAAGGGGCGATATGTACCTAGGCCCTTAGATGGCTCCTTGCCCCACAGGGTGGACCAGATTGTGGGTCGGGGCCCTGGGGACCGGAAGACCCGGGAGAAGGGAGACAAAATGCCCCCCGACGTGGAGTCGGTGGATGAAATCAGCATGATGGGGCGCGTGGTCAAGGTGGAGAAGCAGGTGAGTACTGAAAGGACTTTTGCCGGTGTGATGGTGCTGGCTGTCGACCGAGAGGCTCCAGAGGGCCGCGGGAACAGACGAGGGGAGCAAGAACAGCACCCCAAAATACCCACCCGAGAGGCTCTAGCAGGACCTTTGGGTCCCCTGCCCTGCAAGACACTGCCCCATGGATAATCCCTGCTTCCCAGAAAGCCCGCCCGCTCCTGCTAAGGAAGCCGGATGAGCTTGCCCTCTCCTGCTGAGACCCGTCAGTAGGGTGCTACGATCTCAGATAAATCCCCCTAAATCCCACCTCTTCAGCTGTCTGTCTTCTAGATCGACCCCGCCAATTACAACTAAATTTCGTCCCAGGAACATGCCCCAGGCTCCCAGCTTCATCTTGCCTACAGGCCGGATTTTACCTTTTCTGTCGCTACTCCGCCCCTCCTCTGGGTTAAGCCCCTCGTAGGCCCCGCCCACCAACGCACCCGCCCGGGCTAAGCCTCCTGCCGCGCCCCTTCTGGCCCAAACCCCGCCTCCCAGCTGCGCCCCGCCCCCAGGTGCAGTCCATCGAGCACAAGCTGGACCTGCTGTTGGGCTTCTATTCACGCTGCCTACGCTCTGGTACCTCGGCCAGCTTGGGCACCGTGCAAGTGCCGCTCTTCGACCCTGACATCACCTCGGACTACCACAGCCCTGTCGACCACGAGGACATCTCCGTCTCTGCACAGACGCTTAGCATCTCCCGCTCGGTCAGCACCAACATGGACTGAGGGACTTCTCAGGGGCGGGGCCGCACTGGCCCAACCCCTCGGCCTTGCGCTGGGACCCGCCCACGAGGCCTCCGGACTCCTCTCTTACTTGAACTCGCTCCCTCGCGGGGAGAGAGGCCACACGCAGTATTGAGCTGCCTGGGTGGGAGAGCTACCCGCTGCGGGTGCCAGCGCACCGCCCCCACCCCAGGAGTGTGAGGTGCCAGGCCACACGGAGGGCAGCAGCAGCGGCTGCCCCGCGGCCTCTGGGCCCCTCAGTACCCTGCCCGCTCCATTAAGGCCTGCCATGGCCCACTTGGCAGGGTCACTGCCCCCGGAGTGGGAGCGGGGCGCTGGGGCCCTGGGCCCTGACCCAGCTTCCAGCTATGCAAGGTGAGGTCTGTGGCCTGCTCTTCACACAGAGCAGGGAAGCCCTCCCGCCAATTCCCCACCCCACCCGGGGATGGGCCCAACGTGTCCCACAGGTACCCACAAAGCACAGGACCCTGCCACAAGGCAGGTGGGCACCATATATGCAAACTATGTTAAATATGCAACTTTGGGGGCCCCCATGGGGTCCCCCTGCCCCTCCTCCGTTGGGAGTTGGGCCCCCAGCAGTAGCTGGTCTCAGGCTGCTTGGCCATGACCCCCATCCCCATTCTTTGGCTTATCACTCCATCCCCACTGAGCATGGGGCCTGTTTCTCCCCTACTCTCTCCCAAGGCCAGTGCCTGGGCTTTTCTTCCCATCTGCAGGTGTCACCTCCCAGGGGATCCCTCTTCCTGCTGGATGTCCATTTCCCTCTCGGGCCCTCCAGATATCTTCGACAGGCAGCACAAATTTCTGTATACTCCACAATCTCCCAGACAGTGGCCCACAGATGAGCCACACAAACATGGCCCTTTGTTTCCCCAGACATAGAGAAAGCCTCACACACTGATGCGCATAGCCAGGCAGACTTGGAGATGTGAGCGGAGGGACTCTCGGCCTTTCCTGGGCCTCTGCAGCTGATCCCAGCAGACTGGCCTTAGGGGATCTCCACTAAGAGGTAGCCTCTCACTCCCTCTGCACAGGAGAGGGAGCTTTAAAGTGATCCCAGGTCTCTCCAGGCCCTACCCCAGAGCTTTACCAGCTCCCCTTCCCCAAGAACATAGACTCCTCACTGGCCCAGGAGCTCTACCATTGCCTCTGCCCACCCCTGAGGGTCCCCCTCAGTGTCCTCACAGCACAACTCAGGCCTAGGCCTCTGGGGCCTGCATACCACTGGAGAGACCCCAGGCCCACCCCTTCCTAGTCACTCTCACTCCCAGAGTGAACAATAATGCATCTAGCAGCTACACCAACTGTGCACATGGCTGTCACCTGCACTGTCCCCTCCCCACTTGGCAGCTCATATACTGGCATAAGTGCCCATCCACTCCAGGCCCCCAGCACTACTTTTGTATTCCTACCCCTTGGTTCCTGGCAGGAGGGCGAGGGGTAGTGAACTGATGGCAACCCTCCGTGGGGTGCCAGGGAGAAAGGGGCTGAGGCCAAGCTGCTTGCATCTCATACTGAGGACCTGCATGTACGAGCACTAGGGCTTGGGTTGGATCTTGCTCAGCCCCATGGTGCCCAGCCTGTGCCCTAACATGCCCTCTGCATGTACCTTCATGCCCCAGATGGAGCATCACCTGGCTCACCTCACCTACGCTGCACTGTCCCCAGAGAGCCACCCCTCTACTCCCTCAGAGACAGCTGGGGAGAAGGGCAGGAGAATAGGATTACCCTGTGACCAAAGGACATATGGGAAGAAGCCCTCCCTCCTTCCACGATCAATATTCCCCCACTAACCCAATCCTCGGATATGCAAGTACCTCACTTTGTTAACTTATTAACTTATTGGTTTCATTAAAGTTTTCAGTAGAAGGTGGCTGGTCTTGGTTTTGTTCAGTGGCTAAGGGGTGAGGCTGGTTTTGGGGTGGGGACAAGCAGATTAGGATGTTAGGACTTTTGTTGTAAACAGTAAAAACCCAACCTAATCCGGTTCAAGTGAAAAATGAAACATTGGTCCAGGGTACTGGAAAGTTGAGGGGATATTTTTGGATTCATGCACAACTAAGTATAAGTGAAAATGAAATCCAAAGAGGGCAAGATCTACATGTCACTTCATGAGGAAAAAGAATCTTTTCAGAGGTAATTAAATTAAAGATCTTGACATAGGGAGGAGATTGCCCTAGATTATAGAGTGGGCCTTAAATTCAAGCTTAATGTCTGTTTTTTTCTTGCTGGTGATGTTAGGGATTGAACTCAGGGGCTCATGCATGTTAGGCATCTACTCTACCACTGAGCTCTACTCCCAGCCCTACAGGACTTTTTAAGAGAGAGGTGGAGGGAAATTGCACACACAGAAGAAAAAGGTGATATGAATACTGGAGCAAGTATGGGAATGATGTGGCCCCAAACAAAGGAATGCTAGCAGCCACCAGAAGCTGAGAGCCAAGGAACAGATTTTCTTCCTGAGCTCTGGAGGGAGTGCAGCCCTGCCCACACCTTGCTTTAGGCCCAGTGAAGTTGATGTTGTACTTCTGGTCTCCAGAACTGTGAAAAATACATTTTTAATTGTTTTAAATCACCAAGTTTAAAGTAATATAGTAACCACAGGAAACTAATAGAGTGCATTAGTTGGTGTCTTAATGAGAGAAGCCACTCTTACTCATTTCCTTAGATTCTAGAACTTTACATTGTGGCTATGTCAGTGAGAATAAACCATGTCTCCTCCATGATGGGAAGTCTCCAATGGAATCTACCTGGCCAGGTGGCAAGGTGGACCCCTTTGAAGAAAGGATATATTAGATATTTAGCATTTGACTCTGCTGATAACAGATAGGACATACAGTAATGGCACTGGGCAGATCAACCTTGATGAGGTAAGTACATGCTGTTGAAGCCATAGTCTGCGTTACGGCCACCATGACGACACTGTATAAGATTCTATTGAGAAAGCACTGCGGGGACTGGAAAGCTAGTTGTGAACGTGCCATCCAGTGAATGTGCCACCTTATCCATCTGATCATTGAGAGCCTCCTCTGCCATGCACACCTTTTGGTAAGATTTTATTTGTAATACAAATGCCTTCACACTTTGTGCCATTTCTGCAAGCCCACCTAAATACATTTTTCTATTTCCTCATTGGCAACCCTCCAATTCTGTGCTTTATGGGTCCCTGACCATCCAGCCAAATCATTAGCCATTGCCTATAAATCAATGTAGATCCATATTTCTTGTCATTTCTCAATCCAGGAAAAATGGGCAATCAAATGCATTGGAGGTTGTGTGATGGGTTAGTAGGATTTATCAAGGCATGGGAAGTAGGGTGTTGGTCTTGGTGGTGAATGTTTCATCTAGATGCCATAGAAGGTGTACACATCCAGAGGCACCAGAGACTATGGAACAGAAAGAAATCCTGTGGCTAGGCTCAGAGAATAAAGGAGAGTATGGTACAAGATGAGAATTTAGAATTAGGGGTCAAGAATTTGTAGAAATGCTAAGATGTAAATCAGTGATAAAGAACTTACCTAGCATGTGCAAAGCCCTGGGTTCAATCCCTAGGATTGAAAAAAAAAGAATGTGTAGGACTTTAGAAATCATTCCAAAGAAATACAACTCAATGGTGAGGACAGTTGAGAGCCAATGAAAGCTTCAGATTAGGGATCACACTGAGATTTTAGAAAGTTTTCTTCCTAGGATGGCTCATGGATTTGAGGGAGAAAACCTGGGTGTGGGGAGACCAGGCAGGAGGTTGCTGCAGTGATCCAAGCTTGAAATGTTAGCAACTTGAACAAGTCCCATGGAATTTTACAAATTGAGTAAATGTCTATTGAACATCTGCTGTATGTCAGACCCTGGCTCAGCATAGTATATAGAAAGAATAGACACAGGGGAATGAAATTTGGCCCTGAGGTCAACCAGCCTCTGGGGGAGACAGATGTACAATTAACCAATGCACAAGTCACTGTTTCTTTCTACGTTTGTCTGGCTCAGCAAGGAGAATTTGCAGATGGCTATGGGAGTCCCCAAACTGTCATCAAATACGGCCTTCAGAGCAGATATAATTTTAGCTTGGCGTGTCATTTATCTATTGCTATGTAACAACTCACCCTAATACTTAGCAACTTAAACAATAATCTTTTAAAATTTATTCTTGATTCTATGGCTCGGCAGTTTAGGCTGGACTCAGCTGAGCAGTTTCCCCAGTGTCATTGGGGGTCACCAGGGGTCTCAGATGGCATCTTGACTGAAGCTGGGTGGTTGCTATGGCTTAAGTGTGCACCCCAAATGTTCCTGTGCTGGAAGCTTGGTCGCTGGTATAGTGGTGTTGAGTACTGGAACATTTAAGAAGTGGAGCCTAGTGAAAGGTAATTAGGTCATGGGCGGCCACTCTCAGCAGGATTAATGAAGGCCTCAGGGGATTGGATTAGCTCCCTCAGCATCTAATTGTGATTAATTGAGTTGTTATAAGGGACTCTGAATTTCTCTTCCACAGGTGCTGCCCACCACTCTTGCCCATGCTCCCACCATTGTGATGCTATCCACAATGAGCAAGGCGTTTATCACAACTGAGCAGATAGTGCTATGCCTCTGACCTTCTAAAACTGTGAGCTAAACAAACCTCTTTTCTTCACAAAGTACTCAGCACCAGGTATTCTGTTACAGCAACACAGAATGGACTAAGACGATGGCCTAAAATGGTTTTACATGTCCAGTGTTTGCAGGATTCTTATCTCTGTTCCATGTGGCTCCTCATGCTCCAGTAGATTAGATTGGAATCTTTCACTGGCAAGAGGGCCAAAGCAGAAGCCCCAAGGCCCAGGCTCAGATGCTGTACAGCAGCCTGGGATAATTGTATTGCAGAGGCTTGCTCTGAACAGATTACATGTTTTCTACTCTTTCAGATAAAAGAAAACCTTGATACATAGTTTCCAAATTACACAACTTATGTCTACTCTTGCCAGTTGTTGAAACATCTTTTCTTTTTCCTTTGGAGAAGACAAAGGGGATATCTTCCCCTACCACCCATCTCTTGCATACAGTGGTATTGTGGCAGCTGCTACTTGGGTGCATTAGTCTGCTTGGGCTGCCAAAACAAATACCACAGGGTGGGCAGCTTAACAGCAGACGTTTCTTTCCCCATAGTTCTGGAGCCTGAAACCTAAGGTCAAGATATCAGAGGGCTGGTTTTATTCTGAAGCCTTTCCCTTCGGCCTGTAGATGGACATTTTCTTTGGTTATCTTTACACGATTATCTTTCTGCACATATGTGTGTTTGACATCTTTAGTTCCTCTTATGAAGACACCAGTCATATTGGATTAGGGGCCACACTAACAACCCCACTTTAACTTAATTACCTCTTATTTCTGCATATAGACACATTTTGAGGTTCTAGGGGTTAGAGCTTCAACATAAGAATTTTGGAGAGTCACAATTCTGTCCATAACACAGAGTGGTAACTTACCAGCCTGGCTCCCTTTTTGCTATAAATGTACAGGGGCTGAGGATTGCTCTGAGGACTTGTCCCATCCCCATTGGGCAGAGGTGGATGTGGGTAGACATCATGGAACCCAGTAGTTTGGAGGTCTTGCATTTTTAGCCCCAGAACCTTTGCTGTAACATAACTTACTTCAAACCTCAATATATAAAATATCAACAATGCAATTGCAAAATGGGGACCTCCCAGAGGTGACTTCAGCTCTCATGCTATGTACACATTGAGCATACACCCAGGATGCTGTCAGATCCGATCTGTATCCGTGATTCATTTTAACTATTGCAGTGATTTGTATTCTTTGTCTGAAAGTCTTCCTTCCTCACCCATGCCATGACTACTCTGGTGTGGCATTTACTTGCCCATTTGTCTCTCAGTAGGTTTCCTGGAATCAGACTCTGGGCCAGAGAATGGTGTGCAGGTTTATGGAGGAGTGCACCCAGAAGACTCATCTAGGGCTGGGGATTTAGCTCAGTGGCGCCATGCCTGCCTCGCAAGTGCAAGGTCCTGGGTTTGATCCCTGGTTCTGGGGTGCGGGGGAGAAGACTCATCTATATGGAAGGCAGAGTTGGGCAGAGGAAAAAGCACATCCGCTATGTGATGCCACCCAAGGCATTGGCTAATACTCGGGAACTCTGGAGCTCAGATAGACCTGCACAGTTGTATTAAATTGAGGGAAGGACACAGTCCTTGGTTTTCAAGAATCAAGTAATTATTGGCAGTTGATGAGGGAGTTCCCAATGGCCTAGGACAGTCCCCAGCGAGTGCGACAGCTGTGAAGCAGCAGCAGTGATTCCCAGAGCTGGGGAATGGATATGTGGGCCCAGAGGGGCAGGGTAGGGTGACATGGATGGAGCACCATGGTATTCACTGCACCATCACGACGTTGGACTTTGTCATGGGATTTGTTTCAGTCAATCTAATGTGGAGGGAAAGGACAGCATTCTCGTTCCATGATGAGTCACTAAAAGCCATGTCAATTTATGCCACACCTCATGGTGCCTTCTTCCCCCAGATGAGACAGCTGCTACTCCTTTACCCGGGATCCAGAATGCAGACAGGTGGAGCAGACCTGAACCAGAACCAAGCTCAGCAGTCCAACCTGTTCTGCTCAGGACCAGCTGAATGGCAGCTGAATTGGAGGCTTACTGTGCAATGATAGTTGATTTTTCTGTCCCTGAGATGTGGAACTGGTTTGTTTTATAGCATTTCACAAGACCTGACTAGTACAGCTAATAGGATGGAAGCAATGAAGTGGGAGATTTACCTTGCACTTTGCAAAGGATTTTCTTAAATTCTCGGTAACCATATTTGGTTTTGTTCCAAATGGCTTCTTGGGCTTCTAGATATCTTCTCTCTTCTCTCCTCTCCTCTCCCCTCT